CAAGTTTAGCACTACTCATAATAATCCAATGAACAAAAGACCCGAACCTTTTCTATAACTATTGTAATTTTTCTAAGTTCATAGAGTTTCCAGAGGCCTGTTGTTTAGGAAGTGGATGCCACTCCTGCTTCCAAACCTGTCTTAATCTGGGAGCTCCACCAAACACTGTCCACCATGGGTAACCTTTATGGTGTTTGATACCCTAGTGGCACAGTGTTGAGCATCACAGCAACCCCAGATTACCTCAGTACAACAAATTGACAGACCAGTGCTATACCATTTAGAGGAAGGTTCCTTCAAAATATAACACTAGGCCCAGAGGGCTCAACCAACTTTTAAATACAAAGGCCCTCCTCAAGGTTGTGTTGACTCTAAACAAGAGGCTTAAAAAAAAAAAAAAAGAAATGTTTCACACTGAGTCTCAACCAAAACAAGGGAGCCCACCTTCCAGAGTGCACATGCTACACCCATCAGTTTTCAAACTGGAGACAAGGGCCCAGCCATAAATACAAAGGCCCTCCATGAGGTCATGTTTCCCAGTGCAATGTGTCTCCTTATTTCCTGACTGCTGGTACCAAAGATGTTAACTGTGGATCCAATAAAGATGAAATTGTTGACAGTTTCAATCTCTTCTCCATTCATCATGATGTTAGGGCTAAGAGACTTTGCTTTCTTTTTTTTTTTTTTTTTTAATTTTTTTATTACTTTGTGTGCGTGTACCGTCAAATTAGATCTGACTGGTACAGGAGGATATTGCACCTCCTTCTCTAGCAGAGCATCTGGTGGAGAGACTTTGCTTTCTTGACACTGAGATCCTATCTATATGAAAGTCTGCATTCCTTGATCTTCTGTAGCAAGTGCTTCAAGTCCTCCTCACTTTCAGCAAGCAAGGTTGTGTCATCTGCACAACGCTGGTTATCGACAAGTCTCCTTACGATCCTGATGCCACATTCCTCTTCACAGAATCAACTTCTCGGGTAATTTGTTCAGGTATGGAGAGAAAATACAACCCTAACACACTCCCTTCTTAGTTTTAAATCATGCAGTGTTCCCCTGCTTTTCACATAACAGTCTGGTCTAAGTATAGGTTTCACATGAGCGAAATTAAGTGCTTCTCAGTGTCAGCCACAACTTGTTATGATCCACACAGAATGTAGTCTTCTTATTTTTATCTGATTTATGAATTTCATGGTTAATGTAGGTAAGATTGGAATTTTCACATAAGATGAGGAACTGCTTTTTGCTGCTGAAGAGCTCCCAGTCTAATTTGATTTCTTTTTTCTTTGGAGAAGAATATCATACGTGGGAAGATGGAGGGATGGCTAAGGAGAGGAAGATCCTCAACCAGGTGGATTGATACAGTGAGTGAAGCAATGGGTTTGAGTGTGTTGGAGTCTGTGGTGATGGCACAGGATATGACAGGGTCAGATCTGTTGTTCATAGGGTCACTATGAGTCATATTCAGTTTTGTGGCACCTATCAATAACAACTCTGACTCCTTAAGGTTTGGCAGGTTTGAGGGCTCAGGGCAGTTTTGGTCTTCTTTGGGCCCCATGTGGGGGTCCACAGAGTGGACATGCCAGATGAACTGGGGTCTGGCAGAAGGACTTTGCCAGCATTTGGGCGTGCCGGGTTGGGTTGGTAAGACCCTGAAAGGTCGTGTCCCGCCTAGGGTCTTGGGAGATTTAATGTCAGCTCAATCCAGATTCTGGCTCCTTGAGGCACGGGCCTGTCTTTCATTGTTTTTGTTCAGACATTCCTCTAGGTCATATAGCCCTGGTGTACAAGTTGCTGTACAGCGGTAACTTGTGGTTGCTGTGAGGCTGAACACTGTGACACTGATGTGTCAAATGTGTTAATGGTTGGTTACCTAATAAGGACAGAGTGAGGTGGAGCTCCCTGATTAAAACAAGCGTGGAAGGAGGAGTGGCATCCACTTCCATAATAGCTTGCCTCCAGAAACCCTATGAACCTGGAGAGAGGATGAAAGACACCCAAGTGTTGAGGACTCTCCTTCATAGGGTCGCTATGAGTTGCCTGTGACTTGATGGCACTTAACAACAACAACAACAATCAATCAGTAACAACAATGAGGTGATGCTCGGTAAAGTGGAAAGCCAGTGAAGGATAGAAGACCCTGGACGTGACTGATTGATACAGTGGCTTCACCAGCAGGCTCAAGCGTATCAAACATTGTGAGGATGATATAAGACCAGGCAAGGTTTCGCTGTGCTACACGTAAGTCAAGGTGACTTGACAGGACCTGCAACATCAAGGAGGTCTGTGTCTGTCCCATCAACTAGTCAGTTTGTTGTGCTATGGTGACTTGCATGCTGCTATGAGGAGGGAAGCAGTATTTCAATACCAGCAGGGTCAGCCATGGTGAACAGAATTCAATGGTGCTTCCAGCCTGAGACGAACTAGGAAGAAAGGTTTGGTGATTGATTTATGAAAATCATCCAGTGAAAGCCCCATGGGCTATGACCGAATGTGTCCATTTAAGGTGCTGGAGGATGAACCTGCTAGATTGGGAGACACTGAAAATACAATGGATTCAGCAATGGATTTTCTCAAAGCCAAAGATGGTGATGAAGAAACAGCACAGGGCAATGTTTTTTTATTCTGTTGTATGTGAGTCTGTAATGAGGTGAAGCTTGGATAATGATAATTAAGGGCAACAGGAGGTCCCTAGAGCCATGAACTGTCCCTCAAGGACAAAAAGCCTGCACCTCCACAATCCAACTTCCATTTCCCTGAGCTCCATGTCATCCTCAATGCAAACAGTAGAGGTAACACATTGGGCACATTTGCACCAAGGTGTTAATGATTTCTCAGTTCTCTTTTGTTGATGACAGATGTTGAATGAGGGTGAAAGCACCAGCATCTTAGATCATGAAGCATAGGGAGAGGCATTAATTTAAGGCTAAGAGAGAATGCCAAACCCACTGCAGTGAGTAAATTCCCACCCATGGTGACCCTCCATCAGGTTTCTGAGGCTAGAAATCTTTTCGAGAGGGGATTGCTCGTCTTTCCCATAGGGCAGATGGTAGATCTGAACTGCTGACTTTTTAGTTAGCAGCTCAATACATAATGATCGAGCATTTATCTGGAAATTTTGCATACAGCAGACCCTGAATGAAGTTGTGTGTTTCATCCAATCAATAAGTTTGAAGGTATCATTCAGTGTTGCTTTTATTATGTGGTTATTATGTGCTGTTGAGTCAGAACAGGCTCACAGTCGACCCACTAGCAGTCTATTAGAGGCTATAAATAGCAGAGGGGGAAAAATTACCCATATTTTTCCTGTGGAGCAGCTGGTAGATTTGAGCTGCCTCCCTTTTGGCTGATAGCACAACTTCTTACCTACCAGATCACCAGAGCTTTTATTATGGACTCCTTATTTGTGGATAAAGGAAATCTGGTGGCATAGTCCATAGGGAATCAGTTGTGTTGCTAACCCAATGGTAGGGACTCTCTAATGCTTCAAATCCACCATCCGATGCAGGGTGAAAGATAGACACTCTCTTCTCATGCAAGTTGCAGCCTCAGAAATCCAAAGGAAGATTAGCTATAAATTGATTCTGACTAAACAGTGACAAGAAACAGATTTATGGATAAAAGAACTGGTGGTATAGTCTGTAGTCTGTGGCATTGATAACTGTAAAAAGAACAAGGACTCTATGAGGATGGCCACATATGACCTCTACTAATTCCACAAGATGGAACTGCCCCATCAGCATCATCATCATCATCATCATCCATTATGCAAAACCAATTTCCACGAGGTTAGATATATTCCCTATGCTCCCGCACATCTTTCTACTAATTCCAACATCCATCTTAGTGCTCTATTTGGTCAAGAATCTGTTTCAATAGCTCAGAGACCACATGGAACCATACACATGATTATGAGGTTCATTAGGAGAGCCAAAGGTTTTAATGCAGGTTGATAGCAGGATATAATTACTCAGTCAGGAGAGCTGCTGAAATGTGCTGACAGGGACCACAAGTCTTCAGCCTGATGACTTTAGGCCAGTGTTATAAAGCCCTTAGTCCTGCCAATTATTGCTCTCCTCCTGCTTCCCCCAACCCCACCCCAGGCCTCCAGCATGTTTGGGTGTAGGTCCCTAGCTCTGGATGGATTGGATAGCAGTCCCAAGGTCAGCTCTGTCTCACATCAGGCCTCTGGTTCCCAAGGTCAGCTTTCTTGTCAGGCCTCTGGTTCTCTGCTGTGCGGCAGCTGCTGCTCTCCTGTAGGCTCTGAACTTGAGTGCTGTAGCAATCTTTGACCTAGAAAGATGTGCACCCTGCAAACTCTGCTTCTTCTTTGCTAGTGGTGATTCCCAAAATCTGCTCCAGAATCTGCTCAATTTAGTGGGACACTAGCCAATCTCCTTGTGGAGAGGGTAACGCATCTTATTTGCATATTCCCACCCATCTTCATGGCAAAGGCAAAGACAATGACTAGGAAAATCACTTTGAACAACAATTCCTTGTTACTACAACAGCTCAAAAGATCTTGAATCTCCTGCAGTTCAGATCCACCAGGATTCCTTGAGTGAAAGAAGGTCAGTCTCCTGCCA